TTCCAACCTACGAAATTTCGATTTTGTTGAGATTTTTATGTTCTATGTTGTTATCAACATTTAAAAAGCTTCGAAAAATTATTTTCAATTTCTTTTCAATTCTATTACTCACAAAACGGGAATTATTTGGATTTTTGAATTTTCGACGAAATTCGGTTTTTAGAAGACGTGGATAAACATTTTTGAGTTCTTATACTCAAATTATATTGAGTTTATTTGGTACTTTTGAAGAGAAACAGCCAGGTACTCAGTACAAGTAATTTTGTTACTTGTCCCAAGTAACAAAATACTTGTGACAAGTACTCAGGTCCTTCTCACCAGTACAAGGGTACTTGGCGCATGATACTTGCATCAAGTTCTTTTGTAACTTCGAGAAAGTACAAAAATGTGCCTTTTCCCCAGAAACCCCTTGGTACTGGGTACAAGTACTTTTTCTACTGATCAAAAGTAATTTTTTCTGGGTGTACACGGACAGAAAAGTTTGATAAAAATTACTTAGAAAATCGTGGCAAATTTTACTGTATGCACTGATAGAACGGATTAATCATAGCTAATATTATTATTTTTTTCATTTTTTCTATTTCATTGGTTTTATCGAAGTAATTCTCGATTTGAAACCTCTCCTCCAGCCTGCCACCCCTCCTTTCTTTTCCTCTCATTGTTATCTGCGGTATCATGGCCGTCTTACTCTTAGCTGTGCCCCATTCGAGCTAGGACTGCACGGGAAACCATGTAAAACCCCAGTCGCACAGCCGGCCGATTGTGCAGTGCCCTAATATATCCATCTATCACACTGACTAGATGGAGACACTAGCCCGCTACACCGTACCTACCGCCCGCAAGTTTTTGTGCGAGCGAGGTGCTCCCAAGCGGTCACCCATCCAAGTACTAACCCAGCTAACGCTGCTTAGTCCGGATGTCCGTCGGAGCAACACCTCACCCACCTAACCATTACAGTCGGTAATCATAACTAATAAATGAATTTGGTTGAAAGCTGGGGTCGATTCGGTCTATCCAACTAATGCATATGTGAGAAGCCTTGTGCGACTCGATTTTCACCTTTCAAGTGAAAAAAATCAAAGAGAATTGAAAATGTCAACTTCATTTTTCTCTGAAAATTAATGGAAAACCAGAAAATTCCAGTAAATATATTCTTGAATTTTCAGGACAGTGACGCTGAATGCGATTTAATGGGAAAAAAATCATGAAATTTCAGATTTTTGAATATTCACATTAGATTGGAAATTCAAATAAATTGAGAAATTCTCGTCTTTAAGCTGCTTAAAATTTCAGAATTTTAATTAAAAAAAAAAAAAAAAAAAAATTCAAATAGAATTGAAATTTAGAGAGAAAAAATTCCGATTCGCCCAGCCGGGATTCGAACCCGGGTCTCCCAGTTACGCGCCGGGCACTCTTACCGACTAAGCTACCGGGAACCACGGAAATTCTCACTCCACATTCAACTCAGCACGCCGCCTACCCACCTTTAGGCATTAAAAATAAATTCAAATAGAATTGAAATTTAGAGAGAAAAAATTCCGATTCGCCCAGCCGGGATTCGAACCCGGGTTAATTGTTAATTTTCAGTGAAACCTAAAATTTCATGATTTATTCCCCTAAATCGCATTCAGTGTCACTGTCCTGAAAATTAGTAGTCAACTGTCTCTGAAATTTCCTTTTTTTCTAACAGTTTAGCTCGAACTTATTGATCCGCGAAGACCGGGCATTTCTTGTTTTTGTTTTGTTAGAACGTTGTAAAATTTTACATTGAAAGGTATTATTCAATATTATTCACATATAAAACCATGCATTTTGAGAATTGTATAATCTTAGACCCACATAGTAAAGATCTCCACCGAGAAATACGAACGTAAGAAATCTGTTTCCTACGTATATTCCAAGGTTTATACAGATTATTGTCTACTGATGATCACGATGATAACGATATTCTCTAATTTAGATGGAATCTCGCATGACTAATGAATAAATTCCATGATTAATCAGTGGTGATTAATAATGTAACATGGCAGGTTGCCGTCATTAGCACAAACGAACACTATCCGAAAAAGAGGAAGATGTTAAATCTCCAGTACAGGTTCCCGTGGCGAAGAGGTGTCTTAATTGATAAGAGTATCAGCCCAGTAATCTGAAGATTGTGAGTTCAAAAGTAATTAGTGATTATTGAAGCGGTCGCACAGCACATGCCACAGTGATGAATCAAGCACAGTAATTGTGGCAATGATACATCTGGTAATCAATGTCAACATCATGATATATATTGAACCATAAAATTATCCAAGATTATAATTACTATCCTATGAACACGCGAGAAAAAATGAGGAATGATCGAAAAATGTTTTCTTGGAAATTTGCGTACATATGAGTACAATGCTGGAGAAAAAATAAATTTTCATAGCCATTTGATTGTAATAATTTTCAGAAGATAGACATGGAATTCAACTTAAGGAAAATTCCATGACATTCCAATTTTTTTTACAGTGGGAAGACGAAAATTGTCCAACTTATTTAAATTTTCTATTGAAACACGAATATTCAGTACCAAATCAATATTAAAATGCAAAATTTCAAATTAATCCCAAATTCAAAAATATTCCTGATTACTATTAATTTTCATAAAATAATTAAACTGAAATTGACAGTTTTCATTGATTTTTCAATGAAATTTCGAATTCTCAATTCGAAATTTGAAATCCCAGCTAAAATTTTGTTGTTGTTAAATTTTGATATTCAATCCATATTTTAATGTTAAATCAAACAAATAATAATAATAATGTTAAATCTATCTGTCGTCAGTACAGGTTCTTGTGGTGAAGTGGTGACTCGATTGATAAGAGTATCAGTCCACTAATTTGAAGATTATGACTTGAAAACTAATTAGTGATTATTGAAGTGGTCGCATAGCACATGCCATATTGATGAATCAAGCACAGTAATTGTGGCAATGATACATCTGATAATCAATGTCAATATCATGATATATATTGAGACATAAAATTATCCAAAATTGTAATAACTATCCTATAAACACGCGAGAAAAAATGGGGAATGATCGGAAAATGTTTCTTTGGAAGGGTACGTAGTGCATACGATTACTACTACACTAGTAGTGAAAAAAATCATTTTCATGGACATTTGACTGTAATAATTTGCAGGAGATCGACATTAATTGCGATTTAAGGGGAATTCCATGAAATCCCAATTTTCTTTTACGGCAGAAAGACGAAAATTCTCCAACTTACTTGAATTTTCTGTTGAAATATGAATATTCAGTATCAAATTACAGAAATTCCAAATTAATTCGGAATCCAAAAATTTTCCTGATGATTATTAATTTTCATGGACTAATCAAACTAAAATTGACAGTTTTCATTGATTTTTTCATAAAATTTCGAATTAGTAATTGAGAAATTCCTTCAAATTTCAGCCGAAATTTTTTCATCAGCTGCTTATAAAATTGAAATTCAGGCTTATATCGTGAAATATATACGTAGGACATGCATGATAGCACGTATAGTGAGTTCAGTGTTTTGTTTTCGATGTGTGTAGATCAATTTTCATATAATGATGATGACCTTATCCAATTAGAATAGAATATCCACCAGCCAGTGAATAAACTCCACGATTAATCAGTCCTGATTAAAGTGAGATGACACATAGCCTGAATTAACATAAACGGATAACATTCGAAAAATAAGATGTTGAATCTCCAAACTCCTGTAATGAGTTGTGACAGCTTAATTGGTAAGAGTATCAGCCTAATAATGTGAACTTGGTCGGTGAAAAGTAGCTCCACCCTAACGGTTCGAGTCATTAAGTATTTCCGCAAAGAAGAAATTCTACAAAGTATTGTTTTTATGTCTAAATTATTGAAATGAATTGTATAGGTCATGAACATAAGAATTCTCTTATTCTTTAAAAAATGCAAGAATCACTCTCAATAAAAATATATTAATATATTTTTTAAAGTTGGAATGAACAGTTTTTCAATTGATTCGAGTTTTGATCATAATATTTTCTGAGATTAAAAAAAAAAAAAGAAATGAAATGTTTTTTTTTAAATTGGATTCGCTTTCATAAAAAAAGTGTTTTTTGAACCGTGGGAGGTCTGTAGCGCTACCAGGGATGCGAAATGACGTCACTTTTTGAAATTTGTCAGGTCACAAAAATATGATGGTCATGTGACCGTCATGTGACGTCACGTTTTTTCATGTCATAATTTGGGTCACACTGTCGACTCACATATAATAATCAACTAGTTAGATGTAATGTGACCGTCATAAATTGTTCTGTTACAAAATCTTGTCACAAATTTTTTAATTGCACCGATTTTTCGGTGCTAGGGTTTACTTGCCAACGCGCCCATAGCCTAAAGGCCTTCAGGCAGAGAATGTTGAATGTGGAGTAAATTTTTCAGTTGAAAATTTCCGTAGAATATCCGGTTTCAAAATTGTGTGTAATTTTCAGCTGAATATCATGTCGAAAATTGTAATGAAAAATTGGTGTGAAATCAGTAATTTTATTCATTGATCTCAACTGTTCGACCATTCCCAGTGAGAAAAATGACACTTAGTCAATAAACTCATCACTGATTTTTCTTTTTTAAATTGAAATATGACTGACACGCATGTTGACGCTTTGTGATTGTCCATCCATGGAGGTTATCATGGGGAATTTTCGAATTTCGAACTAGTTGCTGCCACCTGGGGTGCCACTAATTAGAAGGGATGTGACGGTCACAGGGTAAAAGTCACGTTTGTGTCATGTGACAATAAATGATCATGGTTGACCGGGTCACATGACCGTCACTGACGTGTCATGTCATTTTTTCACATCCCTGAGCGCTGCCCTCCCCACGAGTGTCGAACTCAACTTTTGATTACAATGCGTGAAAAATTGCATTTTGCGCATGCTGAGCGTGCGTAAAATTTCACTTTACGCACAAGTGATGAAAAATTCAGAAAAATCATAAAATTACTCACCAACAAGTGGTATCATAAGTGTAAACAATGGTTGCGCTCCGGATGTAGCCCTAGTAATACTCTGCAGTTGCGTCAAGTAATCAATGAAACAATTAGTATCTGGGACAAGCTGTCTAGGTCGAACTTCTATCTCCACTGATACCGATGACTTGAGTAAAATCGCCTGAAACAAATGAAACGTTCAAACCGTTACACAGAGTTGAGAAGCCAAAGGTGAAAAGTGAAATGTCATGCGCAATTTGGTGGATGTAAATTATTCGGGAAAGATCAAAACTCCAGTGTAGAGGAGGATAATAGTCCATAAAAATGATGAATATTTCGATCGATAACTGGCAAGTCATGTGGAATTAGTTTGAAATTATTCTGTGGAAATCCTTGGTTGTTATTTACTGGTTCCCATTCCCATGTACAAAACCACCGAATCGTCGTAAATCAAGCTCATGCGGGAGCTTTCATGTGTGGATTGTTACATCTGTTACCCTACCAGGACAATTCCATCTGGTGGTTCATAATCATTATCCTTTCTTTCGAAATATTGTGGAGGCACCAGTACCCAAATGTGTCAGAATTTTCCAGTAATAAAATGCGTTCTTCTCATTATTCAGATGTAGAATCGCAAAAAAAATTAATTCTTTGCAATTTTTGTCATTTTTTGGTCATATGACACAATCACAAAATGACGGTCATTTCGCATCTCTAGTCTCTAACCAACTAGCTTAAGAGGTGACGCCTGAAGGGGTCGTGGCAGTGCAGTCCGTCCCAAAATTAAAATTACAAAGATTCCTATTTTAAATCTGAAAAATTGAGCTTGTGTCGAACAGATTATAGTTTTCTGTTTCTACCATAATTTAATTGAGAGTAAAAAAGAGAGGAAAACTGCACAAAAATTTAGAAATAAGTCATAATTAGTAGTATACGTTCGGGTACTCCTATCTTGACGGTAATCTGAGTAAAGCTTCATGATAATTTTGGGAATTGAGAATTCAACGGGAGTTGGTAAATTCAAATTGACAAGAGTTTAATGTAAATCGATAGAGGGAAGATGGTGATTGGAGTTTGATAGTTACTTTAACGTGCGTTTAAACTCAACCCAATTTAACTGCCATTTGGATTCAATGCCTCGGGACTATCGTTTCGTTCCACTTATGTACTTATCGATACTTATTACTATCGCTGAAGGGAGTTATTGGCATTTTTACACGAGAGAATTTTTGAAATGAGAGAAATGATGATATTGGACATTAAAATTATCTTTCCCATTTTTGTTGTTCTTTTGGTTGATTCGGATGGGAAATTTTATACGTCTTTTCAATGCAGTTCAACTGATAGTTCGAGCAACCATTGAAGTTTATGTATATTCGTGTGATTATCAATATCCTATTGAACGGTCAATTTACTGGAAATTTTCCTAAACATTGAGTTGACACTGACATTGACATTGAGTTGACATTGAGTGTTTTCAGGTATTTTCATAGTGGTCCCTTCCCTCCGTCGAACAATAAAAGTTCAACATTGTTCACGGTAAGTCCAACTGCTATGACAAGGATACATCCACTTAAGGAACTTCCGCAGTAAGTATATGGGAGCAGAAGGAAATGGACTGCAGAGCTGACATTTTGAGAATATATTCTTTGACTGATGACAAATATCCTCCCGAAGTTCCAAAACACTGAACCACGTAGATTGTCGAGGAGAAAATGTGAAAAATGTTTCATCAACACAGAGTCTTATGACACCACTTTTTCAAACATGACAAAAAAATAATCGACAATGGAATAAAAATCCACACGCTTCACGAATAGAACTGTATATGTCTCAGGAACATATCCCCACAATTTCATTAGCCATTACCACAGGGATTATTTGTAATTATTGAGAATGTATGGCATAGTTCAGGATTTTAGTTACGTTAGAGGAAACTGATGGCTGAACATGGCAACGTTGAGGGAGGTTAGAGTGCGCGCAGCGGAGGCCATCGTGTGAACTCCGCCATGACGTAGGGGAGGTTGGGGTAAAACGGACACTTTTGACTTTTTTTTAATGTTAATGAGGGGTTGAAATGTTGATAAAATTTGATAATTGTTTTTTCAGTACAAAGAACAATTCTTTCCCTTTGTGACGAGCCTGAACTGAGCTCAATTGATCAATTTGTTTCTGAGTTATGAATAACTTAAAAAAAGTCTAGTGCCCGTTTTACCCCACCCTCCCCTATACTATAGATTCTATAGTACAGTATAGGATTTTATCGGGACACAAGAATACCAACTGCGTCGAACAAAAATGCGCGGTTGTCAAATCTGTCATGAAAATTTTAATTTGCTAAAAAATTCGGATAAATAATATTTCGAAATAAAAATTATGTGGAATTGATTAATCATGAATAATAAGTGCAAAGAAACCCAAACGACAAAATTCCAATACACCCGTGAACTTTTCATCATTTCATCATTTTTTTTTCAAGGGATGCAGTAGTGTCGAAATATTTGATATTTCCCCCCACTCCATAGTCCCAAAATTCACTGCAGAAATTGCTTAAAATCTTATTAAGCGAGCATAGAAATTAGAAATCATCAATAGCAAATCATTTATTTGCTATTATGATTTTCCTGTATGAAAATTCAACAGCTGATAAATTGAGATATATAATTCTCATCACTCACATTGCTTTTTGCAATGAGAATGATTATAAACAATTAATTGAAAAAAGGAATATCGCCTCTGACAGGAAAATAATGAATGGGTATCAACATTAGTATCGGTCGAACGCGTTGTATAGTGCGAGCACTTCACCCCCCCCCCTCTTCGCCCGACCCGTCTCATCATCTCATCAAGTCTCACCTGATAATTAACAAAAAATAATTATTCAATTAGTGGTTAATTTTTTGAATCCTCATTTTTTATTCATTCCAATTATGTCATCGCGATTGATAACTTCAATTGAATGTAATGACAATGATAATATTTTACTGGACAGATCACTAATGACTAATATCCACCCGGAAGAATAAATATAATGTAATATACGCCTACTCGATCATATCCCCCTTTAACTTCATATATTTCTCCCTTTCCACGATGTATATCGTTGTAATCGGGTTGCGACAAGAGTTTACGAGGAAGGTGTGTCGAATGGGAGTCGCAGGTAACATCCAAGATGAAAATTGATATTCAAACGACTTATTAACGATTCGTGCCACGGGCGAACAGCCCGACACTCCATGATACGTTTCCTTAACAATTATGTGGCGCTCGAATCATAAGTATTTCATGAGAATGAGTTTTATCAATTAAATTATCCTGGGAAATCAATTAACTTTAATTGAAATGAAAATTAATCACTCTTTACTTTTCACTGTTAGAAATTTCATGAAATTTTGTCATTGAAAAGTCATAATTCCATGGAAAAATCCGTGGGAACTGTAAATTTCAGTTTAATTTTTTTCGGGAAAATTGAAGAAAAATCAGGAAAATTCTGAGAAATCTCTCCTTGAATTCCAGATTTCTCTGAATTTTCAGGCTATTCCTTCGAAATTCCGGACATTCCGAGAATTTCAAAAGAATTCCTTGACAAAAATCCTAAAAATTCCGAGAATGTAAAAGGAATTCCCTGAAAAAAAAAACTGAAAATTCTTAAAATTCCAAGAATTTTAAACGAATTCTTTGAAAGAATCGCGAATTCATGAAATTCCGAGAATTTTAAATGAATCCCTTCACAAAAATCCTAAAAATTCCGAGAATTGAAAAGGAATTCCCTGAAAAAAACCTGAAAATTCTTAAAACTCTAAGAATTTTAAACGAATTCTTTGAAAAAATCGTGAATTCATGAAATTCCGAGAATTTTAAAGGAATTCATTGAAAAAATCCTGAAAATTCCTGAAATTCCGACAATTTTAAAGGAATTCTCTCAAAAAAAATCCTGAAAATTCCCGAAATTCGAAGAATTTTAAAGGAATTCCCTGAAAAAAATACTGAAAAATTCTGAAATTTCTAGAATTTTGAAGAAATTCCGAGAAAATTCAAGGGACTTTGGCAACGAAAATTCATTTTTTCTTGAAATTTCATGTATATTGTAGAATTTTCCGCTTCCTGCCGCTGAAAAAAATGGGTCTTTACTTGAATTTTCAGAGAAACCTGAAATTCCATCAACTTTTTCCCCTTAAATCGAATTCCGGAAAACTCCTCCAAATTCCTTTAACAGTGTCCGCAAATATCCTCCCAGTTTACGGACTAAATTGGTGAGGACTTGATGCACTGACAAACTCACAATTCCTTCCCAAAATCGATCGACACACTGTGTCCACATGATTGCACCAACTCCCTGGACAGACACAATGAAAAATGAATATTTTATTCATCGGTTCATCCAGAGTAGAAGTGATCAAAACCCCCTGACCAGAAATTCCCGAAAATAATCCAGGGGCTCCACAACAAAGGCTCTCCTGGGATTACCCTCAGACAGAGTCCAATATTCCCTCGTAAAAATCAACAATTTTTTTTTCGCACATAAAAGCGCACTGACTGCTGATACACGGCATAGCGAATACTAGGAGGAAGGGGTCACTAGATGGCGCTGTCTTTCATGACATAACCTCCCGGGGTCGAGAGCTGGTAGTGCTCGTAATATTTTCGGCCATGACATTTAAAATACATAAAAAGGGACTCCAGCGGAGGAAGTGACGGTGAAGGACCAGTCCTTCGGGTGATCGTAAAATATGATCATAATGGAGAATCATAAAATGTACAAAATGAACTAGCGAGATTGCAAGGTTATGTCTTCTTAAATAAATGAAAAAACAAAGTTCTTACGGTTTCAGGAGAAAAATTCGGAATTTCGCCCACGTACGGAGGAATGACTCGTGTAGGAGCGCTATGCCACGAGGCTTTGACATAAAAAAGGGAAACGAACACGTTGATAGCACATGATTATCTTGCAAACGAAGAAATCCTGTTCTCAACATTTTTTTTTAAGGTTATGTAAGACCAGTTCAATGATTCGACGCACGAAAATGGCTGCAGCGGTAGCATTATTCAATCCCCTGTGTTAACGAAAATAAATGTCATCCCACGTGACAATGAATAATTGTCAAGTAATTATCGTTTATGGTACATTGACCTCAGACACAAGATTTTGTCTTTATTCACCACTTTAATACGCGCAATTAT